ATGACTCATCTTGATCAGGTGTCTAATAAATAAAAATCACCTGATAGGAATTTATATTACATGTACTTTCATTTATCTATTAATTTCTATATACGTAGTATAAATATCTATTGTATTGCTTGTTAAGAGAATTATCACTATCTTGATATAATTTATACACCTATTTGTTCGTTAATTAACAATTTGTTGAATATCAATACAGTACATCAAATGCATCAAATCTCCATCTGTTTAAACTAGTTCTATAAAAATAGATTTTATGAGTGGATTAAAAATGCTGGATTCTTTTCCAATTGAGGAGGAAATTGAACTTGAAAGTTATATAGTGTCACTGATTCAATATCGACTATAATTTCATATAAAAAACACGTGAACAAAAGATGCAGTAATGATCAAAATTAATCATAATGATATTTAGACTACATAATTGGTTCAATAATATTCTACTTTCTTCTATCTCTTTCTATTTTCTTCTTTTTCTTCTTGTATTACCTATCTTTCTATATTTATCTTATTGTTATCTTTGTTTGGATATATTAATTACACTATTTTCTTGGCAAATTTCATTATCTATATTAGTTTAGCCTTTATTTTCTATTTTTGCTATTGGTATTTAGATATAGAACAAGATTATTAATTATTATATAGTTAAATTTCATGTAATTTAGAAGAGAACTAATAATTTCATAATATTAGTGTAGATTTACTGTGCCACATGCTGCGCTGCAACTGTGCCATACTGCGCCATATTGCGTATTACTGTATCACACTGTGTTATTATACACAGTCAACCTCGATATAACGAACCACTGATATAACAGATTTCGCTTAGTATGGATTTTTTTTGGGAATGAAAAGTTTTAATAATATGTATACCGAACTTTATTAATAATTGATTTTATAGCAGATCCGGACTAATTTGCTGAATGATCTAATAATGTTCTATGTTTGATACAACAGTTTTCATAAAACGGATTCTGATATAGTTAGACCAGATCCGAAATAACTAGAACAGAATCCAGTATAATATAATAATAATAACGGACTCCGTTAAAGTTTCTATCAATTATTAAATTGTAATTATCATATTGCTAATTATAGACTATGATTTTTTATGGCTACCGAAAATGAACTCGTTTCTCTTTCTCCTTCTTCCCTTTCTTCTTTTTCCCACTTTTCACTTACTCCAATACCAAACAACCGAGCTTTAGATAAGCGAAAAGTAGCAGCAACTAATTTAACTGAAAAGACAAAAAAAATTCATGTTTCATTAACAGCACTTCAAAAAAAAGAAATTTGTGAACGTCTTGCAAATGACAAGATATTGAAACAAAAAGATATCACTGTTGAGTATGGAATATCAAAGCAATCTGTTTCTGATATCGTCAAAGCAAAAGAGCAATGATTGAAAATTGAATCAGGAACACCTTTAGCCGAATTTAAACATGCTCGAAGAGCAACCTTTGAAAATGTTGAAGAAGTAATGAAAATTTGGGTGAAAAATGTACTAGCATGAAGTGACTTGGATTTGAGTGACAGTTTGTTAATGGAAAAAGTCTTGTTATTTGCTGAAGAATTCGAGGTTTCTGATAAGTTTGTAGCTTCTGCGGATTGGATCAACAATTTCAAACGACGAAACAATCTAAAGTTCTACAAAAAATGTGGTGAATCTGGCAGTGTCAATATGAACAAGATTCCAAAGTTTCGTGAGCAACTTCAAGACATAATCAAAGATTACAAATCTCAAGATGTGTTCAACTGTGACAAGACAACATTATATTGGATGCTTGAACCTAGTTGAACTCTAGCATATAGTCCAGTTAAAGGAAAGAAGAAATCAAAAGACCGAGTATCATTGCTAGTAACAACAAATGTAATAGGAGATGAAAAATTACTGATTTTATTTATCCACAAGTACGAAACACCACGTGCTCTCAGAGGGATTAATAAATCCACTCTTCCAGTATGGTACTATTGGAACACAAAAGTGTGGATGCAAAGGTCTATTTTTAGATCTTACCTTAATTAGCTTAATTCCCAGATGCGCATTGCAAATCAGAAGATTCTTCTTTTAATGGACAATGCAAAATGTCATGAAGCTGACAATATTAACGAATTATCTAATATCTGGGTTCACTTTTTACCTCCCAATACTACTTCGATTATTCAACCTCTGGATCAAGGAATATTGTATAGTTTAAAGATTAGTAATTTTTATTAATGTGCTTTATTATTATTCTGTTATTAATACTATTTATAATTAAGGCGCAATACAAAAAAATTCTATGTTCAGAAAAAATTGCGGCCTATAAAAAATTAATTGATCAAGAAGGTGAACTTCGAAAAACTTCTATCTATAATGCTATTTTATATATCAGTCACGCATGAAATATTGTCTCTTCAGAGATAATTAAACATAGCTGAACACGGTCTGGTATTCTTCCACCTTCTTTTTCATCTGAATTATTACGCGGTCTATCAACTTTTAATGAAGAAGAAGAAGTTGATATTATTGATCTTTGAGAATCCGAATCTCAACAGTTAGAGCATGAATTAGATCAACTAATTCAATGGCTGCCCATTACGGAACCACTTTCTGCGCATGAATTTATATGTATTGATGATAATATTGACCATGAAGAGATTGATATAAAGGAAATTGTTGATGTAGTACTTGGGAAAGGATTGGAAAACGAACCTGATGATAAAGATGAAAGCGAGGAAGAAATTTCTATTGGTGAAGCTTTAAATAGTACTAAAATTCTTATTACATTTATCAAGCAGTCTGAATGGGGTATTGACACAAGTTTTTATCATAATTTGATAAAATTAGAAAAAGAGATTATTATCAAAAGTATAGCTGAAAAAAAAACAAACTAGTATCGATCAATTTTTTATTTCAGATGAGTTTTAATTTTGTTATTACGACTTAATAAATAAGAATCGATATAACAGATTTTTTTCTTTTTATATAGTAAGTCTGGTATAATGAAAACTCTTAATTAGCTGAACTCCTTGATATATTAGACCAAATAGTGTGAACGGAGTGGTCCATTATATTGAGGTTGACTGTATAGTTAATTTGGTTTGTGTCTGATGATAGGTTGAAGCAGGTTTTTCAGAATTTGCTTCTTCTATAATTTTAGCCACATTGATAATATTTGGTAAAGTTCCATCAGAATTTATTTTTACCCATTTACAAATTTCAGTTTTTAAACCTCTTTTGTAAGTTCAGGTTTTGTAATCTTCTGGATAGGTATTGGTTGGATCAACTTTCTTTAGAAGAGCATTGAACCAATTTGTATATTCATCAATACTTCCAGTTTGTTAAAGGGTTTCAAGTTCATTTTGTCATTGTTCAATCTTTCAAGGAGTACGAAATTTCAGGACAAAACAGTGTTTAAAGTTGTGTTTATCATTTCCATGATTTGTCCATTCAGTTAGGGCGAGAGCATTGTTAGTAGCTCTTTGATCAAACCAAGCAGCAGTTGCATCTTCTAAGTATTTACGAACAATTTGAATTTTTCATGTATCAGTGACTCCATTGGCTGTGGCAGTAACTTCAAAATCTCTGAGCTATTCAACAGGATCTTGATCATCACCTTTAAATTTTTGAATTGGAATATGATTTTTTTCAGCTCTTAGTCCAACATTAAGAGCAGCAATAAGAGCATTTAGCCCATGAAGAACATCATTTAGATCAATAGCCATTTTTTTATTTTCAGATTCTTCAGTTATTTTTTCAGATTTAGAGTTTAGTTCTTCTTCTGATGGTTGTTCTTAATCAGAAATATCCAGTTCTTCTTCAGTATCAGTTTGTATAATTAGTTGTTCTTGAAAGTCAAAGTCTTGCTATTCTTCTGTTTGTTCTTCTTCTACTTCTTTGATGTTTACTTGTTGGTCTTCTATTATTTTGATGTTGCTGGCAGTTTCAAAATAATAACCATTAGATATGTTGGAATCTTCTTCAAATTCTAGATTGTGAAAACCTTCAAGTGTTCTTTTAACTAATAGTAGTTGATGATCAACTGT